AGTAGGTAAGTAAGTATCATATACAGTATAGTAGGTAAGTAAATATCATATACAGTAGAGTAGGTAAGTAAGTATCATATACAGTATAGTAGGTAAGTAAATATCATATACAGTATTTCAGTGGTTCTTCATCTATTAATTCCAATTATGAGGTTTTCAGAGACGTATAAAATGGGTTTATTCCTCTACGTTTCACTTTTCGTGTTAATGAGGTTCGATCTTCCAGATGTTGATGTTTTGTTTAATTAAACATTGATTTTATGGTGAACTACAGATGTTTATTAGTATTTTGTTTAAACAGATAAACAGATAAATAACATTGGCTTAAGCGTCAGTTGAATTTTAAAAAAGATTGTAGAGCTTTTGATAACGCATTTTAAAAGTCTTCCATTTCACGAATGAACAAATAAAGACGTAAAACAAGTTAATAATTTTAATGCTAAATTCTAGTGATCCTTAGAGTGAATGTACCAATCAAATTTCTTTCCTTGCTCGCTGATCACATCATTGTTGTTTAAGATCCTTCCGGGATTAAAGCCAAAGCTAACTAAGCTGCACGACCACAAGGCACTAATTATTAGACTAATGATCACAGGGGACTATCTTTAAACCAAAAGTACTCGGTAACACAACGCTGTCGCTCTGAATGATTGGAGCTAATCAAAAACTTACAGATTTTTTTGTTCTGAAATATGTAGGTTTAATAATTACTTAGATAAACCAGAGTTCATAGCTAACCCGGTAATTAATATTCCAGCCTAACGAGATGTAAATAACGTATAATGATTTGAATGTACTGTGTAATAACTTTTGGAGTGAGCGATATTTTCTCTCTCAATCCTCTTACAGAAACCTTCAAATTTACTGCAGTGAAATATTATATTTTCCTGTCCATAACAAACGCTTGTCTGTAAGGTTTGGCTATTTTTTGTCGATTTATTTGTTGTTAATGTGTAGAAAGAAAAATAGTTCGGATGTTCTGTTTTTTGAGATTTACCAGCTTCTGAGAGTTGATTCATAATCAGTCGTAGTTAACATTCTTCTAAAATACTCAATTGATGTAAGGATTAGACTAGAGTAGTTGGAATTCATAGTACGGCGTTCAAGTGGAAAAACTTAAGTTGTGTTGTATGTTATTACTTGAAAACTACTATCATTTGTATATGGAAACTACTACACTTTAGGTAGTGTATATGGAAGTTACTACACTTTAGGTAGTGTATATGGAAGTTACTACACTTTATGTAGTGTATATGGAAGCTACTACACTTTAGGTAGTGTATATGGCAGTTACTACACTTTAGGTAGTGTATATGGAAGTTACTACACTTTAGGTAGTGTATATGGAAGCTACTACACTTTATGTAGTGTATATGGAAGTTACTACACTTTAGGTAGTGTATATGGAAGTTACTACACTTTAGGTAGTGTATATATAAGCTACTCCACTTTAGGTAGTGTATATATAAGCTACTACACTTTAGGTGGTGTATATGGAAGCTACTACACTTTAGGTGGTGTATGTGGAAGCTATTACACTTTAGGTAGTGTATATGGAAGTTACTACACTTTAGGTAGTGTATATGGAAGTTACTACACTTTAGGTAGTGTATATGGAAGCTATTACACTTTAGGTAGTGCATATGGAAGGTACAACACTAATAAAATCATTAACAAAATGCAATACACTCGATAGGTGTGACATTAATATTTTTTTTTTTTACTGACGATTTAATTTTTCTTTATAATTGTTATGGCTGACATGTTCTGTTCCGACGTTTATAGAATTAATATGTTAATATTAATCCACAAAAGATGTTGTTCACATAATTTTCTTACTCGGTTGAGTTTCTGTATGTTGTCTTCAGACGATTGTATTTGGGTTTCGAAAATGCACTAACGTTCTTCGACATCTTTGCAAGATGACGGTCGAGTGGAGTGCAAAAATCAACCAACCATTTCTACTACATTATGTAATCGGTTATTATTAATTATTAACTCCATTACGGTTTATCCAACTGTATGAAATAAGAAGATTAGAAGATCAATCTATAGATATTATGTTCAGTCTACCATGAAGATACGAATCTAATTCGTTACTTTTTTAATTGTTGAATGGAATTATCACATTCGTTATTTTTTTAATTGTTGAATGGAATTATCACATTCGTTATTTTTTAATTGTTGAATGGAATTATCACATTCGTTATTTTTTAATTGTTGAATGGAATTATCTCATTCGTTATTTTTTAATTGTTGAATGGAATTATCTCATTCGTTATTTTTTTAATTGTTGAATGGAATTATCACATTATTTCAGATAATGTTTACAATAATTTAAGCAACAACGTAAAAGATATTACTTAAATCGTAACATATTGCTTTTTTAGTAACCGCTTATTTGTATCCACTAAGTTTATGTGCTTATTTATACCCACTAAGTTTATGTGCTTATTTATATCCACTAAGTTTATGTGCTTATTTGTATGCATTAAGTTTATGTGCTTATTTGTATCCACTAAGTTTATGTGCTTATTTATATCCACTAAGTTTATGTGCTTATTTGTATCCACTAAGTTTATGTGCTTATTTGTATCCACTAAGTTTGTGTTTTTATTTATATCCACTAAGTTTATGTGCTTATTTGTATCCACTAAGTTTATGTGCTTATTTGTATCCACTAAGCTTATGTGCTTATTTATATCCACTAAGTTTATGTGCTTATTTATATCCATTAAGTTTAGGTGCTTATTTGTATTCACTAAGCTTAGGTGCTTATTTGTATTCATTAATTTTTTGGCACAACGAAAAATGAAATCTTTATTAGATATTTCAGCCAGCTATTTTCGGAAACCAGTTACATCATCAAGGCTGATGTGTGTCCGTATAGACAACACAAAGAGATGATGTACCGTACTGTTGGCGGGAACTGATATAAGAAACAACTGCAGTTCAAAGTTTTTTTTTCTCCGACAACGTTTTCAGTCAGCTCGGTCGACAACGTGGTCTTAACTTGCTATGACGATAAACACCGGAAACCACGCACTTACCACGTGAGCCCTTGTAGTCATCGGTATGGTCTTTATTACCCCGCCCTCCATCTAAGTTTGTAATAGAGTACACATGTATACCCTCTTCTCCCCACTCCCTATAGTAAGTTCCCCTGATATTTTAGTTTCTTTAACCCCTCTGTAGCAGAGATAAATGTACAACAACGGTTTTATAGATTATTTCCAGGTAGGGATATAAACTTAGGCAAGCTTTGCTTCTGGAGCTTTCATTTTCACATTTGAGGGCTGTTTTT